TTTGTTCCCTTACTAGATAGTTTGGCCGCTGTAACCTCTAAGGCAAGATATTATAGCTGCACTTGTCAGATGCTTATTTATTTCACAAATTCATCAACACTTTTAACTTAGGTAAATAAAAAAGAGATTTCCTATTAAACTTAATTCTCAGGTCGTAATTCTATCTTTACAAAATAAAAAGCTTATACACAAAACTGTAAACATACTCACACCCCTTTAAATCGAAATATTAAACTTAAGTACATGTGTGACTTGTAAATGAAGACTTATTTTTCATGAAACTGACAACAATAAAAAAAAATACAACCGTTAACAAATCAACTCTAAGAAAGGGTAGCAACCTACATTTTACATCTATGCAACTTCCTCTACACCCGACCCCAACCCCCAACAACAACAGTCCAAATAAATAAATTAACAAGTTCACATTGAGGAATTAAAGTCTGTAAAGTCAGCTGAGCAGTGTTCTTCAGTGTACTCTGAGCATTTAGCACATTCTACTGAGATTATCATTGGCTAACAGTGATAACAGCAGATTTGTCTGTATTGTTTAATCTGAGCTCATTCTAGTCTGTTAAAGCTAACATGGCTGAGCTGACATTAAACACTGATCCAAATGGTTTTGATTTAAATGTTCCACTTATTTTTAAAACTAGGAGTTTGACATTCACAAAATCACACAAAGAAACAGCAGCCCTTTATTTGAAGGCTTATTTAACCAATTTCTAAAAAACAAAACAAAAAAAAGCAAGTGCAATGAAATATTGATTGAATTTCAAAATCTAGTGTGACCTTCCTGTGCTAAAAGTGATTTCACTCTGACCCTGATGGACAAAAGAAGCCAAAAAAACACACCCAGTGCTAAAATGCCACGGCTGTGCTCTGCTGTGAAGCTGACAGCACAGCAGCAGAGTGTCGGGCAGCAACACAGCAGACGGCAGCAGCACTCACCCCTGCCACGTGCCCCGCCATCGACTTTTCAACAGCAGATGAATTTGGCATCTCCCTAAATCAATAATGTGCCAGCGTGTTTGTTTGGAGCTTTGAACCTCATACCATACACTATTAGGGATGCTGATTCCTAAGTAGAAATTGATCATTTTTTTGCTTAGTGTTTAAACAAATTCACATATGATGTGTGGATTTGAAAATGTAGGTGTTTTACACCGACATACTGTACCAAATACTTCAAGTAGGGCTATTCGTCTTATGTACAATACAAGAACAGTGCAGCTAAATACATAATTACCATAAGTACAAACACTAAATTCTTACTACTTTTAAGACAATAAATAAATGGGTCAAAAAGAGCACTTAAGATTTGTTTAAGCTGTTGTTTAAATGACCACACCAGTGTCTTTAGATTTCAGCCGATTTAACGTGGTACATTATATAACTACCATCCATTTTCCAAAGCATCACAGAGTAAGTTTTTTTTAGCATGTTTTCTCCACTTTCCAGACAGATACTGGTTTCCATTCATTTCTCTCTATAATAACACATGATATACAAATTAACTAGGAGGCTGCTGAGGAAACCATCACAGTGAACACTATATCTGTTGCTTTATGTCTGTTTTTGCTAGTCATTTCATTCATTGGCTTTTTTTAGTTGAGTGACCTGATGTGCAGGACACTCAAGTCAACCTTTCAGAACAATTTCAGATGACCATTTATATAGCAGGTCCTTTATCATTTTAATTCCTTTATCATTCATGTAAAAATATAGTTTCAGAGAAAGTTTCCTAGAGAGGAAATGAAGATAATGTTCTAAAACACAGTACCTCATTTATAGGATTTTTTAAGATTGAACAAGGAAATAATGTTGTAGTATGGACCCCTAAAGTCCTGAAGAGTGATAGTTTATATATTTTGTGCACACATGTTAATTATATTGTGGGAACAATTTATAAATATATTGTGTGCACACTAGATAACAACTTGTTCATACAAGATAATCAATTGTTCCCACAAGATAATTAACTTGTTTGAACAAGATAATAAATTATTCGCACACTTGTTCCCACAAGAAAATTAACTTACGCACACGAAGTAATAACTTGTTCCTACACTTGTTACCAATAGATTAAAAAAAAATTATTCCCACAAGATAATTAACTTGTTTGCACAGGATAATAACTTGTTCTCACAATATGTAACTTCTCCCCACAAGATAATTAGCTTGCACAAACAAAATAATAACTATTTCCCACACTTGTGCCAACAAGATAATTAACATGTGCTCTTGTTCTCTTGTTATCAAAAGATAGTAACTTGTTCCCACACCTGCAAGAACAAGATAATAAATTGTTCCCAAAAGATAAAAAAATGTTCCCACAAGATAATTAACTTGTTTGCGCTTGATAATAATTTGTTCTCACAATATATAAATTGTCCCCACAAGATAATAACTTTTTTCCCCCAAACTTGATCCCACAAGATAATAAATTGTTCCCACTGGATAAAAATATTGTTCCCAACAACATAATCGACTTGTTTGCACAAGATAATAATTGTTCCCACACTTGTTCCCACAAGATAATTACATGTGTACATAAGATATTGTTCTCCTGTTATTAAAAGATAGTAACCCACACTTGCAAGCACAAGAAATTAAATTGTTCCCACAAAATGTTTGTGGGACACAACATGTTGACTAAGCAAAGAAAAATGAAATCAACTGAGAAACACTGCAGCATGCTTTGGAAAATGGTCAGCAGAAACATAAATAGACACCAGTATGGTCCTTAAATCTATTTAGACACCCAGTGACTGGCTTGGGCTTTGAGTGCCAACGTCACAATGCATCTGCTCATATCCAATGCCAGGTGTCACCTCTTGGAGGTGCTGGGCAGTGCTTCAACTTTGTCATGTAGTTCTGTCTCTTAGCGCAGATATGAAAAAAGGCAAAAGAGAATTGTGTAGAAACGTCCATCTGAGTACAAGAAAAAGTACAAGTGAAGTTTGACAAAAGAAACTTTGCATAATGAGAGTTCATTTGACCTTTTCATCGAATGTAAAATTTTACAAATACACACCTTTGGTAACATTTTACTTTAAAGTCCTGTGTCACTCAACAATTACGAGATCATTAAAAATATTAAGTCATATGATGAAAGGTAAGCTGTTTGATGTTGTACCATGTACTGAAGAATTCAAAGGATTAGTTCAACATTTCCCCAAATATGCTTATTTGTTCTCCTTCTTAGGGTGAGGTGAGAAAGTTTATATCAGTCTCATGTCTGTGAGTGAAGTACAGAGCTGGATCTCCTCTGTTTAATGTGAACACAAACAGAAATGTAAAAAGACAGTTTGTGGCTTTAGTCAGCAAACAACGGTGCAGTGACAGTGCACAGCTTCCTGAAACCTTGTGCCGTGTTCACATCATACTGTTCAGATCATAATTATAGGCATCAGAGGGAAAACATCTGAGGGTTAGTCTCCTGGTTGTAATTTCTTGTCAGAGGTATCTAAGATGTCTCTCTCTTGGTGAAAAGAACTACAGTAGTGCTGACAGATCTGAGGCTGAAAAGCTGCAAAGTTATGCCTACATCTGCTTTAAATCCAATCCAATATTAATATTTATACAATTTAAAATGATGGCTCTGGTTTCACTTGTCAACAGACTGCTACAAACATGGAAAACAATATATTTTTTCTCATACTTACTGAAACTGTCACTATATCCTGACAGTGGTACATGAGACGGATTTTTCTGTGGCTCGTAGTGCTGCTAATGGCAAGGATCCACCATGCCTGAACAAAAACAATTAATCAGAGCCAGTGGCAATCACTGCAAGTGCACATGCTGCGCTGCCAACAAAATTGTACATGACAAAGACAAGAAAACAGTAAATAATTAAAAGCAAACTACAAAAAAAGAGTTGTACCAAGCCAGAGATAAAACAAGAGTAAACATCAGAAAAACTTTTCCAAGGTGGAGAAAGGATTCCAGACTCAGAACCTGGACTCCCTACTGGCTCTGAGAGGTTGTTTTTGTTTAGGCACTGTCTATCCTTGCAAATGTCATTAGCACCACTAGGAGGGTCTTCATAGATTATCTGTCTCATTACTACTGTCAGGATATAGTGACAGTTTCAGTAAGTGTGACAAAAAGTTTTTTATAAAAGTTACCTTCTGAACCTTTAAATTAGAGAACTGCCTGCAAAGCTACCAGTGGCTTTAATCGTCTTGGATTCATGCCTGATCACTTATTTAATCTCTTTCAGTTCTGTTGATACGTCATCGGTAGAACATTATTGTCACAGTGAGGCTGCCAGGTGTGAGACCAAAACCTGGATCAACTGTGTCAAGTAGCTCATGCTAAGTCCAGAAACGCTGGGTGCAACTCTGCCTTGTGCTGGGTTCAGACTACACGGTATCAGCCCAATTGTAGCCCGACGTGGTGTCGTACGGTGTCGACTCAGATCATGGGCGTGAGTGTCGCATGCGATAATCCATCGTTTTATCCCATGTAGTGTGTCATAGTAGACGACAACTGACACCACGTCTGGGACACCTCATGACATCCCGACAGAGAGTATAGCATGTATGATTTTCTTCCTGTCTTGTATGACTTCTCTCATTACAGCCGTCACTTTGGACAATAGGAACACAGCTGTCGTGGACAACTGTATGTCAACAACACCCCAGGGTTTTTGATACTTCCTCTAGGGATGGTACCACACAGGGTAAAAAAGGAAAATGATGGTGTGAAACAGCAGAGACACTTTAGCAACCCGGTGAGTACTGCCATTAGTGTCAAGCTAGCAAACAATGTTCTTTCTTCATAATGGCTACCAGCTTCATTTCAAACAATCTACATTATAAACGGGTCGTTATTAATTATTCCCTCTGTATTTTATATTTTTACTTTTTATCTGCTCCCGTTTGCCTTGATAAAGTTAATGTATCATGCCATCATTTCAAACTCAACACTTCCTGTATCTGTTTCAAGTTAAAAGCCCCTTATAACTTGGGTTAAGAACATCCCTTCATTTTCTGAAAAGGCTTTTATTGTGAAACATTTGCAGGAACTTGTTGGGGAGGATTCAGTGACTTGCGTCATTTTCATGAGCTTCAAATGAAGCTCCTGCCATCTGGTGACACTTGTTACATCACTACAATAACAGTCACAGTGACTGAAATAATAATAGTAATAGGGATGAAAATAGGTCAAGAATAATCCGATGGCATCACGCACGTCATGAAAGACAACCCCGGATGATTGGTCATGGACGAACGTGGAGACTGTCATGTCTGTCAGCCGAGTCACGGCAAGATTTTATGACTCCACAATCACTTAATCTTACATAGTGATGTCAGATTAGTGATGTTGTGTAGTCTGAACCCAGCATTAGAGTTGCTGACAGGCAGGTTGTTTTTTTTTTTTTACTTTGGACTGAGCCAGGCTTTATGCTAAGCTAGGCTCCAGCTCTGTTCTTTTTTGGACTGTCTGAACATCTCACTCTCAGAGAGAAAGACAATAAGCATATGATACTAAAAGCAATGAACCAATGCTTCAGTGAAGTAGAAGTGACAGACGCTGACTCAGAGGTCAAATATGACTTATTAAAATTATTCATATCATTAAATGATTAATTCTATTGACTACAAATCAGTTGTACGTAGAGAAGTAATTATCCAGATTTGACAGGACTGTAAAGTAAAGTGCATGTACATGTTAACAGGGACATAAGTGAACATTCTGAGGAATTCCTGAGTTGAACCTCCCATGATGCACGAGAGAGGGAGGGAAGCTGACGGGAAGAAGAAGTCAGGATGAGACAGAGACAGAAAGAAAGAGAGAGAAAGCTGCCAGTGCTTCTGTTTATCACCAGTCCAAAAATACCTGTTGAACAATATTGCTGATAAGACAACGCTTGTGTCATCCATTACAAAAAAAGAACAAAAATACTTCAAATATCAAGGTATAGACAAGTAGAAGTGTGTCACAGACCAAAGTGTTTGCCACCAGACTCTAAGTACAGTTCTGTCTCTTCTGTTCCTCTGTTGTACATTTCTCAGTCATTTCCTGACAGAAATCCACTGTTACAGTGGGGCTACATACTTCCTCAGTGGATCCCAGCACCAGCGGACACTCAGGGTTCTCCTGCCCCAGACCTGACACCTCCACCCCAGGCTGCCTATCCTCCACTTGCCCCTGACTGGGACCCACATCAGACAGACACGCAGTATCGCTCTGTTGTGACACGGGCGACCTGGGCTGTGACGAGCCCTCGTCAGAAGAAGGTGACGGTGGGTTAGATGTGAGGTCAATGCTGGCGGAGATGGAAGGCGGCTGAGTGCCCTGCACCTCCCTGCACACTTGCTGGGAGAGGAAAGACAGGTTCTGCCACAGCTCCGACATACAAACCTTCAACTGGTTGCGCTCGCTCAGCAGCTTCTCTTTCTCGCACACCTGAGTTTATAAGACACGGCATCATCAGGTCAGCATGACAGCAATACGCTCAGTTTGTCAGGTGAGACTGTTTTCACCAGGAAAACTACAGCATCAATCATTTGTTCAAAGTGACCTAGATGACTCTTGTCTGTCACAAGCAAAGGTAGAATTAGTGTGACACTGATCCCTCAAAACTTGTTTAGATTTTGTTTTAATCAGCACCCTTTCCCACTCTGTACTGCAACTACTGCAGAAGAGTTTCCCCCAGGATAAATTAAGTTATATCTTATAATAAACTTAAATGATCAATTAATATAAACAAACAAAAGCTCAACAGCAGAACGTCCTCATTTTTAAAATTTTGTTTGGACATGATGGGGAATCACTTCCTGCTTAACAATGTGAGTAAGGAGCTACAGTCCACCACTATGGCCACCAGAGGGTGTGCTCCATCACTGAAAAGCACTCTTCTATTCCTAGTAGGATGCTTTTGTTTTGAATGATGTGTGAGTGTGCTCTATGTGTGTTTGTTGTATGATCATACCAGTTTGCGGATTTCGCACTCCAGGTTCTGGATGCAGTCCAGCTTCCTCTTGCGACAGCGTTGGGCGGCGATGCGGTTTTTGCTGCGCCGGCGGATATCATGGATGAATTCTAGCTGCTCTGAGGTCAGCTTGTGCATCTTGATGAGGATCTGGAAGTCATTGCGTGGCAGGTTGGTGATCTGGTCCACAGGGAAGGGCAACTTTACCTGAAAGGACCACAAAGATTTGTTTTTCTTTTATTGAAATAATTGCCAATCAAAATGAATCACTTTCACATTTGAGTCATGTGATGACAACTGAGTTATCTCCATGACAACTGAGCAAACTTACTTTGCTGATGAAAGCTATGACATGTGGTTGAAAGCCCCAGAAAAAGTTGGTACGTGGACCTTGAGTCAGGATTATTTTGACAAACTACTGTTTCCAAAATTGAGAATTAGCTTTCGGGAAAAAAAAAAAAAAAAAAAAAAAGGTTTGGTGTGGTCACTAACAGTGTCCTCTGACTGTCCAGCTGCCAAAATCCAGAGGACACAACTAAGTTGATACACAGTGTTGCTATGCTGGTCTGAGTCATTTTAGTGCTGTGGATTTACATCCAGCACCTTATGAGCAGGGTGGGTTTTATGGACTCTTCTTGCCCTGGGTTCTGGCCCTGCATACGGCCTTGAAACATAGATGTATAAAAATAACTAGATTCATTCATTCCTATGAAAGTTGCTCAGTGATGCAAGAAGCCAAACAAGTTCAGCTTCCTGGGTATAAAATTACTTAAATCTCCTGCATGATTGGGCCAATAGAGCAAACATGCTACAGACTTCCACTGGCCTGGCAGCTAACTTCTGATTTAGCTCTATGCTAACTTGAATGGGAATAAAATGATTTCATTATGAGGCTCTTCTAGACCTTTGAAATGTTATCAGACCAAATGGATCAAATCCTGACAGTGAAACAAGTCATTACTGTGTCACTCAAAAAAGTGTATCCTCTGATTTACATTTGTCTCTATCACACTGTAAGTCTATGGGGAAAAGTCTTTTTGGGCCTCATGACATTGTTTTTCCAACGTTTGGCCACTATTGGTTATACAGTTCTAGGTTACCTTGGCTTGGTTGGTTTGGTTTGGTTTGGTTTGGGCCATCAGCCCAGTGCAACAGGGATTCACATTTCCATTACAACAGGACTACCCACTTGAATGTGAGTCTTTAACTGATGACAGCTTGTCTTGAGTGATGAGATTTAAAAGCAGAGTGTTGATCCACAGCTAAAGTCCCCACATATTTTGGTTGCATCCACAGCACGGCAGGTAAAAGAAGTTTACCTGTTGGAGGTGAGCTGTTTGTAGAGGTGCAGTAAGAGCCTGTTGTCTGCAGCTCTTCATCTAACATCTCACTGTGGCTGTTTCTGCTTTCACTGTCCTCACTGCTGTATTATTAGACCTGTCTTTATTGAAGAAGAGCCGCTGACAAAGTCCAACCAATTTGGTGATAAATACATTCACTGAGCATCACAAAACTTCTAATTTATTCTCCCATTTATTGTCTGTGGAGCAGCTCCAGACTTTATACCCTATGACATCACAAGTTTAAGACTTCTCTTTCTGGTTTATCAAGTTCACAAATGTTGATTGAACTTTCCTGGGCCATGGTAATAATATGTTGTAATTCTTAATTTAGGTGGTGTTCCCCAATTAAAGACAGACAGGATGAACTACATAAGGCAACTCCCATTTTCAACACAAATATTAAATATATCTTTTTTAGCAATAATTCTGAAATTGCCCAATTCCTATGTACGCCTACATGTTTGTACACACCTGTCTAATGTAATGGTGACACACATATCGAGACTTGCACTGATGATGACTTTATGTTGATATATGTGTTATTATTATTATTATTATTATTATTAATATGTTTCACTACCACCCAGCCAAATTTAAATGAAACAAAATTGACAAGTTCATAAAATCAGGTTTAAAAATAGTGAAAAAATAATCTACATTCTTTGCTCTGAGAACCTGGGTGGTGTCCTGTTTGATGAACTCACTGCAATAAAAGCAGCAGCATCATGCTCCCACTCATTGCTTTTTCTTTAGTTTGTGACCCCACTGCCCAGCAAGCAACAGCCTATGTGCTTTCTCTCTGTTAGTGCCATGATTTACTGTAAAGAACCACTGATCAGCCAGCTCATGTCCATGCATCAGCATTGATGAGGTGCTTTGCATTGACCATTTATGGTTGAATGTAGGTGTGCAGGATATGAGGCTGGTCCATGTGCCAAGTTGATTTTGGAATTTATAAATGGAAATTGCATACTGGCAGGCGTACACATGGTATTATGAATCAGAACATTTTTTGGCGAACGTACATTTCCTCATTTGTACGTACACAAACATTTACTGCGGATTCTCTGCAGAGTTTTATAAATGAAGCCCCTGGTGTTCAGTAATATGAGTAGCATTTAACAGAAGTCATCAGATGGCGGTTAGTGTGGTGTAAAATGCACTAGGTGTCAGTATGATGCTGTGTATTGATCCCAGTAGCTGTGACACAAAGGGAACACAGGCTGAGCTCTTTGTCTCAGTGGCTCATGTTTAAAGGTGTATAAACATTTTTATTATCATTATTATTATTATTTTTTTACTTTTACTAATCAATATCAGATGGATTCATACTGTTTTTTCTTTCTTTTTGTGTATCTCAATTCATGTAGTCACTCTGGTTAACTCTAACTTTTTTATTCTCTCTTTCTTCACAGTCTTATCAGTGCATTCATTTATCCCTTTATTCATCTGCCTGTTCATGTGTTAGTATTCTCTCATTCATTCACTGCTTTGTTTGACTGCTAAGCTGTAGCTGCAGCCATCTAAAGCTGAATTCTTACTTTCTAAATATTGCTTATAAATCCATTGATGACTAAATACTCTGTTGACCACGTCTCCTCTGTGTTTGCTCCATGTTACATTGCAGCAGTGTAAATCAGAATAGTGTGCTGCAGCAGCCCATGCTGTTTTCTTCATACAGCCAGTGTTAAGCATAGCGCTGCCAGCATATCACGATGACATCATTCACTGCTCTGACAACAGAGCAAAGGGAAAAGAGAAGCAAGTGTGTCTCTGTGTGAGTGTGTGTGTGTGCTGTGTTTAGGTGCAGCCTGTCCTTTACTATATAGACATCTAAATATAGCTCCATGACTCTCAGCAGTCACATAATAAGGTTGGAATGACAAAGTGAGCCCTGGATGGTCATAAATCCCCTCACCAATCTCTCTCTCTCTCTCTCTCTCTCTCTCTCTCTCTCTCTCTAGTGTTCTGGTTTCCATTTCTAACACTGTGTGTATCATTTGAGACAATCATTCCATCACTTGCTGGTGTTTAAAAAAGATAAAAGAAAACACTTGTTTAAAGCTTTAATCATGTGCGCGCGCGCACACACACACACACACACACACACACACACACACATATATATATATTGTTGTAAAATAACTGTGACTGTTGTACCTAATACAGTGGGCTACACCCAAACCTACAGAACAGGATTAGAGCCACAAGATATTCTTGAGTCTTGCGTAATTTTCGATGATATTTGGTTTATGGCATTTACATGAAACATGAAAAACCTGGTTACTCATATCCATGTATACAAGATCATCACAGTATGCAGTATGCAGCTGTGTCTTCATTTCTCACCACCTCAGCTGTGATGTTCTGTACCAAAAAAGAATGTTCAGAAACCAAACTGAGCTTTGCTGCCTGTCTGTGTAAGCACTGACTGCTATGACAACGGTAAAGAGTAGTTTTTATTCAGATCAAAATATGGAGAAAAAAAAATCCTCATCAATCAAGTGTAAGATAGTTTGGATTCACCTTTCCTAAAGAATCCCAGTATGGACAAAGTACTGCATCCCCATTATAGCTTTGTGATATTGGGCTTTATAAATAAAATTGATTGATTGAAATTGAGCATCCTGCTTTTAAAAATTAGGTAGGTGGGTTTAAGTAGTATCAGTTATAAACCAGTTTGCAGTTTTGTACCTTTGCCTTTTGAGGCAACTTTAACATCAAAGTCTCAACTGCATGTTAAATAGGGCTGGATATCTTTAACATGATGATACCAGTATCAACACCACTACCCTTCAAGCACCAACTCAGGTAATCCGCAAAAAGCTGTGTAAGGGGAAAAAAAATGTATATATTTTAATAACGTGTTAATTTCGATTAATTATTCACAGAAGAAGTAACGTGTTAAAAAATTAGCGCTGATTAATGTTCCGTGGTGCCCTTTGACCTGGTGTGTCATTGATGGCCACAGTGGCTTTGTCACATGAGAGAGGCAGACAAACTGACACTGCTTGGCACCGTGAATGGAACATTTATTTCTAAGAACACCCAATCAGAGCTGTTGATAGGTGCACTGAAGTTTCTGCAGGAAGGAATTTTCATACCATCAGAGTACATTCAGTCTGCAATATCACCTCAACACAAAGCATTTAACAGCGGACCAGGAGGTCCGAGCTAGCACAGCCTCTGATGCTAGTGCTAGCAGCCAGCCTCATCAAGCCACACTCCAGGTGTTCAGACACAAACTGAGTAAAGCCTAGTTCACATTACAAGATTTTCATCGTGATTTTGACATCGCAGAGGATCTTGAGAGCCACCTTGGGTCTGAGGTGAGTCGGCAGATAGCCTGCCACAATGAGTCCTCATGTGTGAACAAGCCTACGAGCAAGTCGCCCCCTCGTCTCGTCTGTGACTGGGACTGGATATCTGGCATGCTAGAAAACTGGAGAAGTGTGACACGACTGACAGAGAGCATCAGCAAATGAGAGGTGGGATACATCCCACGTCAGCACGCAGCAGGACTTAAGAAATGTGAGGAGGACAAGCCGCAGGGTTGCCACTTGCCAGGTCCGCTTATTAGCCACGACTTTGGGCATGTTTCTAAAGTGGAGCTGCCTTCTTGGGCTTGCTCTCTAAACATCACCTTTCTCTATAAATACCCGTCTAATAAGTTATTTAAACACATGATGGTCGCTTCTTTTGGGCTTGTTTCCATAGCCTGGGTTGCTTGTTTATCTCCCAAGGTCTGGCAACACTGCGCAAGCAACAACAACAATGGCGGTGTCCACAGGATCACGGGGAGCGCATAGTGTTTGGACCCAGGCCCTGGAGGCAGATCTGATTCAACACTGGGAAGAATAACCA